CTGCGGCATCTGGCCGAAAGGAAGGTGCCACTTGCGCGGCAGGCAAGCGCGAGTTGTGCAATGCGCGCGGGGGGACACCTTTTTATGCTGGGTGCTTTTTGCCGTTTTGACACGGGCATACGTATTCATTTTTGGTGAACACTCTTGTCGCGCAATACGTAGCCAACCGTGCTAATCGGAGGTGGTGGTGGGGGGGGGGGACAGGAAACCAAACACAAAAAGCAGTTCTGAAGAAATTAATTTTCAATCTAGATTTACAAAAACACAAGTTGCAAGTGTGGTTGCTGTGGAGAGTGCACATTGTTGAGGTAATTGCGAGACTGAATTGTGCTGCCCTTTAGACTTTTGTGACGTCACTGGGGTGTGACCGCTTCACAACTTTGCACGGCGTGTCTGAGTGAGAATCGGGGGAAGCGGTACTTACCCCAACACACTTGAGCCGTCTGCCATTGCTGTAGTCTTCGGTTTCACAGTAAGGCGTCCAAAAATTAAAAATAAAGTCCCCCCCCCCCCCTGCTCAAATGAGCATGTTTCAGTCATCCCCATTTGCAGCCCTGAGTCCGTGGTGGCTCCTTTCACTGTATCGGACAGCCACTGTTGACGTCCCTCTTCATAATAAGTGCTTGCTTTGTAGACCCTGGGTGAGGCGATATGCTTGGTAAACCCCTTGACCTGGATTGAAACGAATACCATTTCTGATTGTGTGAAACATTTTAACCATGGCACACACCACACCTGCTCAATATAAAACAAAACGAAACTATGCAACCTCAAAATGCGTTCATGCCCACCGTGAATATCATGAACTACTGTGGACCTTCATGCAAACAATTGCATCCGTGCCATGTCATACACACAATGCAATATAGGATGGTTTATTGCTAAATCTACTCCTTAGAGTCATTATAGCACCTTGCTCTCAAGCTAGTGGTTCAGTCTTGAGAGCTAAAACTATTATTTTTTGTAGGAGGCATTAACGTCATTGGCAGCGTTCACGTGAATGGACATGGACGAAAAGTCTTGGTGTCTTCGTACTCAACTATATACAGTATTGTGAGCAGTATTCAATTCAAGTGGCCGCCTTGGGCTTGTGGTAGAAAAGTTCAGCTTTTTACAATGGTGATTTTTCCCATTAACAGCTATTGTTGATTGAACAAGAAGTGATTGTCATGTTATCAACCTAGAGAGGTGAAGGGCCGAGTTGACCCCAGGCTTGTGATTTGAACCCGCAGCCTTTCCGATTGTGAATTGAGCGGCGCCGTTAGCTCGCAGTGGCACTCAGCTGGTATTGTCACGATAATATTCGAGCCAAATGACGGCCGCAGTTTGTCCGGGCGAGTCGATGCCTCCAGCAGCTGAATCTGTGAAGCCGGTGACATTCATGGCATCGTCTCTGCGCTGTAGCCCTCGCGCACTCCTCGTACTCAAGGGGGTCCTTCGAGGCTTTGGTCTCCTCCGGGGGACGGCTGTGCAAGCGTGTGGCAACTTGCCCGTGGCCGTACAGGGCGGGGGGGGGGGGGCTCTCGACCTACGGTTTTACCCCCGCTGACCGGGCGCCATCCTGAGCCCAATCTGCTTTCCTTTTTATTGTTGGGCACCAGACCAGTGCGGAGAGCTTTTTCCTCACACTGTGTAAACTTTGCGCGATTGAAATGCGTGGAATGCAAAGGCTGCGTGAAACTGTCTCAACGTGTGCATGCGCCTGTGTGAAGTTCCTGCTTTGTGAAATGCACTGCATTTTTTTGTTGACACGTGGACCCTGGGCACGCACGATAAACCTGGCAGCCAGGGCTCCAGATGCGGGGTGTTGTAACACCGTTCCGTGACCCCCTCACCAAGATTATGGTAATCCACACCCAGGATCTGCTGCCTAAAACCAGCAGCAATACAACACACCTGGTTCACTTGATAATAGTCATAATTAACAAGAAAAACTATATATTCTATTGGTACTATTCTTGCAGCTATTTATTTCCCATGGAGTGAATGATCACATATGAGTTTGATTCAAGAATCTCTTTTTTGACACCGTGGTGAATATGGCCTTTGAATACAGCTTGAATATAAGTGGGGCATGCTCGGAATTTCATGGGAGGATTGGGTAAGCACCTTGACAGTTTAAAACAGAACCATGGCAAAAAAAACACTTTATAGATGGTGTAAGAAGGACGAGGTTGTGATTTGCGGGGCACGTTTTCAGTCTGGAGGAAGGGCCTGTTACTGAGAGGAGCAAATGGCTTGGCATCCAACGGTTGGCAACCAAGCCGAGTACCTCGAGCCAGATGCTGGGGTTCTTTAACGACAGCCTTGCGAGGACAGGTGCCGACCGCAGCTTTTCCGGGGGCCTGGCAAAAGAGAGCGGTGATCGTGAAGGTGGGCTGTGATAACCTCTGGACCTTGATCTCGAATGAAGTAATGTTTCCATTCCCACGTCTAGTGGATTGTGGTGTACGTGTTGTCGCGAATGACTGTCACACCTGGCCCCTAGGGTCCCCCCCCCCCTTGTGGTTGAGCAGTTTAAAATAAAAAAAAATAATTAGAAATATTTAAATAACATTTTTACAATGACTATCACCATTAAATGTTTGTATTATAGTGTCTTATTGTTTTAATGTTATTGTACAGCGCAAAAGTAATTAATTAATATTTAATCCCATATCTCCCGTTCCAAAGAAATCTGTTATTATGCTCATGGTGCATTAAGTCGTGCAAGTAATAATCAATAATTTAATATTTGCTTTATATGGAGGTGGAATGTGTGGTACAGTGGTTCGTACATTATGCTATAAACCTACTGCGCTGAATTGCATTCTTGGCCATGGCTAACATCAGTGGTACGTGATATCTCAACCATTTTGTTCCCCCCTGCCACCACCAGCCCGCCACTAGTCAGTGTGGTGAAGAAGGTCAAACAAATCAAGGTTTAGGAAGGTGCCTTCATCCCAGTAGTGCTTTGACAAAGGGCTTTACACACACACCTTATATGTAATGCACTGAAGAAGGGCCATTGCCCAAAACGTCACTTCTTCTTTACATAGATTTTTTTTTTCCCTTTTTAAGGCTGCATTTCGGACGAATGTGAGTTTAAAGTGTAAATAGATGAAAGGGGTCCACGTGACCCTTGCTTCCACTAGACACCTGCATTCACCGCTGTCTTAAAAAAAAGAATAGGCTTTTTAATGAAATCATAACTCCAAATTGGGATTGTTATTAATATCACGAGGGGGGAGTGAATCGTCCACAGGCCTTATTATCAACCGAAATGGATCCTGTTTTGTGTTCGCATTCACAAAGAGCACTTTGATCGACGCTGACAAACTCTCATCCAAGTGATGGTCCTGCTTCACAGATGTCTCGTAAAGTTATCATTCATCATCATTTTGATCCCCCCGCCCTTTGTTGTGTCAGGCCACTTCCCCTTTCTGTGTTGTGTTGCATCTTGTGGTTGCGTTGTGGTGTGGTGTTTTATCCAAGCCTGATCCTGGATAAAAAATAAAAGAGATTCTTTCCCCTCTTGCCAACGCCCTTTTGCCAACCTGACAGTGAGGGGGGGGGGGGTCTGCCTTTGATCAATAATTGCTGCTTAGTGCCGCTGCGTGTTTAGAACATTATGTTCACTGTGTGCTGATGCACCAGTGGCCTTGTGAGCGAGAGGCTGCATCAATAACAAAGCAACTAGAAAATCAGCTTCTATCCTGAGAGTATTGGTGCTTTGGGGGAGGATTTTGTTAACGTCGTGACCGTATCGGAAAAGTGACTCGCAAGTTGGAAATGAAGTGTTGCAAGAAAGCTTTGCGTATAAAATCTGGAAAATGAGATTCTGATGTGGACAGACCGACATGTACAGGATGGAGAAGAGGTGGTTACTGAGAAAGTCATTAGAGTGTAGCACCCAGCGGAAGACCAAAATCCAGACAATCGGATGATGTAAGGGCAGACCCTTGGTGGTCTGGTATTGACTGTGAAACAGCTAAGGGGTTTGGCAGAAGGAACTGTAAGTCATCACGTCAATTGGCATCGATGGCATTGGCCGTGATGACCTTTCCACCTTGTTTAAACATTTCTCGTTATGCCATACCTGTGAGAAGACGAAGAGATGCACATGGTAGTTTTTTTTGTTCTCTGACATGGTAGAGGATTTGCAGCCCCGGGGTCTGAACGTGTAAACAAACAATAGTTGGGTCAAAGTAGCGCTGCTCGGACGAGCATGTATATGTGCTCATTTCTATTGCTCGTTCTCATGGAGTGGTGGGTTCTACATTTTCCTAAATTAGTCGATCGCTTTTTAGATGCTCATTGTTGACCTAATCTGTTATAGTAATAGGTTTTACCCTTTTGACTGGCACAAAAACTGACACCTTTATTCAAGGCATCATGTTTGCATTAACCACAACACAAGCAGTCAAAATGCAAACAAAAGAGACAACTCTGATAATAATATTGGCACTGTCCTTGAATTTGATTGGTCCACACCCGAGACGGCTTTTCTTAGAGCCTAGTCTCCACTGGTGTTGGACCAGTAGACGCCAAAAGGCGTACAACTCTTCTGTTGTTGACTGAGGAATGGTGGGATAAAGATTGGCAATAATACATTAATTTTGCAATGTTATACAATTATTATAAGAGAACGATTCTTGGAAAAAAAACCAATTTGGACAGGTGAATGTTCGCTGCAACGGATTCCAGGAAAACATTTTATAGTCAATCAGAAGCAATAGATTCAAATGGGTGATGCTTTTGGGCAGTATGGATGAGGTCAATTTACTGACAGGTATTTAAGTGGTACCTGGAGGTTGGGAATTGGGAATTACATAAAAAACCTAAATCCTGAAGGTGGGAAAATATAGAAGGCAGGTATTGAAAGTTGGATCTTTTGGATGCGTAAAGAAGTGATTGAGCTATGTGTTGGAATTGTATGCATTTGTTGGGATGACCTCTTGATGTTTAAAGGACGTTTTAGTGATCCCCGTGGTCATTGTTGTTTAATTACTTGCCCTTAGGCCTGCATTGATGAAAACTTCGACATGGTAAAATTTCTGGTGGAACGCGATGCCAACATCAATCAGGCGGACAACGAGGGCTGGACTCCTCTGCACGCTGCTGCGTCCTGCGGCTACATCGACATTGCCAAGTGAGTAGTGCCACGGTCACCTATTTATAAATACATCGTATCGGAGTAGCCGATCTGTAAGACAGGGCCTCCGTTTCATCTTTGAAAAGTAAATTACCTTTAAGTCTCACCAGTCGGTGATTTTTCTGGATCACTTTTTTTTCAACAGAATTTGTTTCAGCAGGCAAACCACCGTTGGCTTCTCATGAAGCGATAGTAATCCCATTGACCTCAGGGCAGATAACGGTTTAGAGTCAACCCCCAAAATTCAACAGTTTTCGTTCTCTGGGAAGGCTGCGGTCCACCATGCGAATGTAGAAGTTTCATCACGGCTCTCGAGGACAGATACACTTTGACTTTTTTTTACTTGTTTTGCCCCACTGTTGCCATGACTGAAATGTCATTCTAAGATGACGGTTGCCTTTGTCAAGTGAGAGGGTGGCACTTTGTCAACCTACACCCCTAACTCCCACGCCGTCCTCTCCACTAACGCTCCCGACTACTCTGGGCTTAGCGTGGACCCTCCCCCTGCTTAATCGGGGTTCAAAGCTGGAGGGCCGCGTGGGTGCTTTATTCTTGGATTGGCGTCTTGCCACTTTCCAGATGATCTAAATAAGGAGCGTCGTGCATGTGTGTGATTGAATTGGCTCCGCGCCTCTCCCAGGTGCAGTTTGGCACTCTTTAAACACTAACTCCCTGCTCTGATGGACGTCGCTAATGAGGTTACGGTTGGTTAATCCTGCAGTTTTGCGCTATGCCGGATTCAAACAGCTGGATTGATTTCAAACCCACGACAAAGCATTTGTTCCCCGACTTCTCTGTCACTGCCTTATTGTGTACGGAAAGAATCGTATCTGCTTTCATAGGTGCAGCGTTTCCCCTGTTAAGGGGGGGGGGGGGGGGGCTGTGTAGATAGGTGAATCTGTCTCTAACCCTAGTCCTGGAAGTTTAACTCCGGACATGTGTACAATGCTTTGGGGGCTCCTAAAAGCATTATACATGTTCTTGCTCGTGTTGCACATGCAGTACGATCGGATGGTTTAAATGGTTGCACGCGTTGAAAGGAAGCTTTGCAGTAGCTCATGGGATTTGAGTGATTTCAAACGTTCTAAAGCTTAACGTAACAATCTACCGCCATAGGGAAATGAGTAATAGGAATTTCAATTGATGAGGGATAGTTTAAGGACTTTTTGATTTTGGTGTCACTGCTCACTGAACGTTCTTGGTATTATTAATAAAATCAATATTCCTCTCGGGGCCCAGTCGGTTACTCTTGGGGCCTAGTAGGATGCAGAGAGGGTTTTTTGGGGGCTGCGTGTGGTGCCTTGCCACTTACCTTTCCCGTTACCCATCATGCCTCACTCCTTCTCTGCACCTCAACAGGGTGCTATAGCCATGGTGTAACATATAAGTAAGAAGAAAGAAAGTTCAAGTTGAATGGGAATATTTATGTTATTAATAATACCAAGAACGTCCAGTGGGTGGCAACACCGATAATTAAAATGCAGTTTTTATCATGTTCAATACCTAATTTCATAAAAAATCCAAAAGATTATGAATGTTTTTATCATTACAAAATGAATACAACTTTTATTCTTTAGGTCTTTCGGTAAAGTCACGTAGATGGGTTAAACAAAAATATATAACAAAAAAAAACTAGGACGTTTCGATCGCAACACAAGCAGTCGCCATCTCTCCTGATGAAGGCTGCTCTCCTGATGATAACCGCTTGTGTTGCGATCGAAACGTCGTTTTTTGTTATATTTTTGTTTAACCCATCTACGTGACTATACCGAAAGACCCAAAGAATATGAATTCCTGCAGTCACAAAAGCTTTAAGTCAAGATTTGAATGCAACTTTGTTGGAAATTATCAGCCGCCTGTATGAATGTATATATTTTGAATGTCTTTAGCACCATACGTAGCTAACCATGCTAATCAGAGGTGCGGGGAAGGACAACAAAACTAAACATAAAAAAATGTATAGACTGACTCCATTATGGAAACGTGGAATTTCCATTGCTGGGCCTCAGGCCTGCCGATGGAGATGATTCTCGCCACATGCTTATTTGAGAAAATGTATACTTTTTTTCCTTCAAGTAATCCTGCGTGTTTCTAAAAAGAGCTTTTTTTTACACGTTTTTATTTCACGAGCCGGTTATTTGCAAGAAAAGTTCCCTGGCACTTACGAATATATCTCTCTGGTTACACGACAATGTTGTCAGCTTTGCTTTGTAAGAGCTTTATCGGGCCTGGACTGCATGCATGCACAGTTCACGATTATGCTTCTATGGTTACAGCCTGTTCACAATGCAAAGGGCTTTTGTATTTATAAACAATTCAGATTTCAGTTTTAACATCCCAAGCATACTGAGATCCCATTTTACATAACATAATATGTTGAAGTCGATTTCAACTAATATTTATACGTATATAATTTTATAAAATTTTTACTACATCTGGCTAGGGGATAGCAGTATAGCAAGTAGGTTGCACGCCTATCTGTACATTTTAACTACTCTTCCATTGAATGTCTGAAGGACACCTACACATTCCGACTATTTAATATGGAATGAGCCAAACAGTTCACTAAACCTGTACCAGAATCCAACCTTAAACACTGTACATGCATATAGTCCTTTGTCAGTACATTTCTGGATGAAGGCATCCTCACGCTGTGCAGATTGTGAGGCTTAATTGACCATGAGGTTCGGTGCAGGTTGGTACAGGTGGGGAGCATAGACCTGGGAGCATAGAAGTGCATTGCAACAATATATTTAGCTCCACTGCCCTTTGCTTCCTCAAACCATATGCTCTCTCAGCTCTGCCCAGACTTAAATCCCAGCAACCCAGAACATCTCGCCCTCCAGGTTTAGTCCCATACATCCTCAGCCCTTGCCCACCTAAGCCTTCATACGTGAAGTCACCTGGTGGCTATGAATCTCGCCGCGGTGGGCAGTGAGTAACCTTGTTCGCGGGACTCTGTTGCCAGGTACCTGATCGCGCATGGCGCCAATGTGGCAGCGGTCAACAGCGAGAGCGAGCTGCCCCTGGACATCACCGAGGACGAGGCCCTGGAGGACATGCTGCAGGAGGAGCTCAGCAAACATGGTGTGATGTGCTGCGCTGTCATCTCCCCTCACTCGCTCAGTAAAACAACTCGCTGACAATAAATCAATCGATTAGACTTATTCAACTGACCCATCCCTGACTGGACATCTGTGAAAAAGAGCTTTGTAGCTCATCGGATTCCTCCAGTATGAGCAAATATTCTGATTCTTATTCAAATAAAAAAAACAGTTACTTACCTGATGTGGGATGCAGATAGAATAGGTGCAAAACCTAATTTATTTATGCGAAGGTCCTTTTCATTCAGTCATTTTTGGCTGGGCTGAGACGATGCACTCACTCCACTTGAGATTCTGATTTAATCATGTGCGGCTGCCTGAATTCCATCGCAGAATATCAGCCTTTTCAACTCAATGCTCTGACATTCAGGGCCATTTTCAGGGCTCATGTTTAATGCCTGATGCACGGAGAGCCAATTTCAAAAGCGGCGCAGCTGTAGATGGTCAAATAGCTTAAACAGAACCATGAAGGTGTTGAATAACTCTTAAGCAAGAGCCGTTATCAAAACACACATTTTCTTTGCGTACATTTACTACCGTTACTAATTCGGAAACAACATTTCTTCAAATAATTTCTAAATATTTAATCAGCCCAAATGTCAGCAGGGTAACCAGCGTTTTATTATACGAATCCAACCTTATGGTACGTTGATAAAGCACCCAACTCAAACATAGAAAGTCGCAAACCCCAGGTGGAGGGGTTGACTCAATTCATCATTTCTCTGGGGTCAATCAAATGATTATCACATTGAGAAGTCATGTTTGCTTGTCCTACCCAGCCATGGTAATGTAGAATTACCACCACCGGTGCAGGGCAGCTGGCATAGTTGAGTGTCTCCCATATGAAGTGCGAGATACTTTGATTTTTGACGCAGAATATTCTGTAGATGCCTTGTCCAGGAGTAGGCTGCTAAGCTCTGGAGTGGAGGCTAAATTTGGAAAATTACGTGCGAGCTTTAAGCTACTGTACCAGATCGGTCCTTCCTGAATGCTTTCTCTAGCTTGGTGGCATCTGTTGAGCTCAGTGGGATATTCCTCATTGACCAAAACTGCAATGATGCACGCTGCTAAACTGGCTTTTACTAGGTGTGTGTGTGCACACGCGTGGGTGTTGTTGTATCTTTAAGAACATTCGGTTCCTTGCACTTGTATTCCAAATATAAGTAGCGTGTGTACATTATTGAGTACGTGACTACACACTTCTGTTGGTCACGATGGCAAAAAGAAAGTATCTCCTTGCTCACAGGAGCAATGCGATGGCACTCATCTCTGTTGCTGGCCTTTAGGCAGTGCTGGAAAGTTAAGTATTGAGTCATAAAATCACTTGAAAATTCCCCAAGTACTGGATTAAGCTGTTACTTGGAAATTGCAGTGCAATTCGTTGTCAAGAGAATTACTACTTTTCAAAATTGTGCTCCCAGCAGTAGGTTAATATTTTAGACGGTGGCTGATGAGCATTTTATCGTCAGCTCTACATATTTGTTACTCGTCTGAGGCAGTTGTCAATGAAGGCGGTCTCTGAAGATGTTTTCGAGCTGTGCTAGTAATGTCACCAGCCTGCCTCGGACAGGGGGATTTGACAGTGTGGCGGCCTTGTGCAGCTTACATCCTGGCCGGTATGTCCAGGTCGTAAATCATCGGCTCCAGAACATGTGTCCTCTTTGAGCAGCACTACTGTCTGTCGCGTCTCCCGGGTGTCTCCTGGGAACACCCCCCACCCCCCCACGCCTTTTGGTTTCACGATGGAAACGTTGCCAAAAAGGGTGGTTGGGGAAGAGACTCGCGTGTTATCTTCATGGCATCCAGGTGATGCGATGCATTTTCCTACATCGGTCATCTGTGCTGGGGATGCAGTCATTGAGATGATAATGGTGAATACGTGCTTAGCATGTTGACGCCGCAGTATATTTTTGGCCTTGCATGTTAACTCGGTAGGCGATGTGGCAAGAGCGCTCGACTCCCAGTCAGGAGATAGCAGGTTCAAATCCCAGTTGGGAAACGTCCAGCCTATTCCGACTTCTCGGCCAAAAAAACGTGTTGGCCCCTTCGGAAAGTCGGTTTGTGGTCATCGTAAAGAGACTGTGTTTACTCCTGCCGTAGAAGTATAGAATTTCCACTGCAGATGAGCACCGCGCCCCAATGCTAGCTCGAGCAGCGAGTCTCTTTGTGGTTAATGTTGTGAATTGGCACAAATTTCGAGCTCAAAAGTTAACGTTTGTCAATCACAGCAGTCCAACTGCATTGGCAATCGTCGGGCTCGAAGGTTTCCTTCTTGATGTTTTCTGCACAACTTTCCTCCCAGCCACCATCTGTTGACTCTTCGCTATTGTCCGTCCTGTGTTGGTTTTTCCCTGCACGCACCTTGATCTTGTTGACTCTTCTCGGTTCTGAATGGTTCCACTGTTCAGGAAGCATTGTGTATTGGGGTCATTTTAAAACAATCGTGAAGTTATTTCTGCTGCGCCAAAGGTGTGTGAGCATTGCGAACCATGGAGCTTAGTAGGCAGTGCACGTTGGGCTGGCTTGCTCACTTTGTAACCTCACTGTTTGCCCTTAAGATGCTAATTTTAGCTGTCCTGTTTTAGAAAATTCTTGTTTCTCCCCCACTCCACTTTGTGGGAGGGAGTGAACTATTGTGATTGCACAAATGTGCCCACGTATGTAATGTAATGGATGAAGGGAATGCCTGCGTCGTCCAGAGTTGTGACTGTGTTTAACGTTACACGTGGGGAAATGCATCGATCGATATATAAGCTAGGTTCTCTGGGTCGACACAGCTTTAAATAAGTGCCTGATAACAGTGATTCCAATATCAGCAGTGGGGAGACATGAGGGTGGGAGTGTGTAGTGTTCATCACATAATTCCTTCCTTACATGTGCTGTCGTTCTCTTGTTCTTATTAGTACTCGCACACGTGCCTGTAGTGCGCTGAAGAAGGGCCATTGCCCGAAACGTCACTGATTATATATTTTATTTTCAGGCCACAATGTTATTGACGAATGTGAGCTTTTGTTGCTTGTGCAAAGAATCTGTTTAGCTAAATGGATGGCTCTGTCGTTGTGTCGCTATGTATAGCTTTATATTCATACGTAGTCTCGAGCGTATTTTTGTGATGTGCTTGAGCTTTGCATGCAATGCATGCTGTGTCCTCAACTGCAATGTAACGCGTGCGTGTGCATTTCGCATTGCTGCTATTATAATGTCAGCAAATTAAAGTTCGGGGTGCAGTGTCCACTCCATCTATGCAGGTTATAACCCTTTAACAGTATTGGCAGTATTCTTTGGTTCTTTTGGTGAAGTTATCGACTGCCAGTATGCTCACTAAGTTTAACCATTGCTACAGTCTACATTGTAGACTGCCAGTATGCTCACCGAGGTTAAGAACCAGGCTGCAGTCTACATTATAGACTGCCAGTACGCTCACCGAGGTTAAGAACCAGGCTGCAGTCTACATTATAGACTGCCAGTACGCTCACCGAGGTTAAGAACCAGGCTACAGTCTACATTATAGACTGCCAAGTACACTCACCAAACTTAATAACCAGGTTACAGTCCACATTAGAGGTTGTCAGTACACTCTTAAGAACCAGGCTCATCTACATCAGTTTTTATTATTTTTATTTTTCTATCTTACGTGGCTTTACCGAAATAACCAAAGAATATGAATTCCTGATAATAGTTTTTTTCCCCTTTTTTCTGGCAATAAAACAGGTGTTAAGATGTTAAAACACCAAACTGATACATTTTGTAAGGAATCATGTCTGCATTAACCACAATGCTTGTGGTCAGAATGCAAACAAAAAAACACTCTGATAATAGAAGCATTGTCCTTGAAACTGATTGGTCCACACCAGAGACAGCTTTCTTTTGAGTGTCGTCTTAAACGATGTTTGATCAGAGGACGCCAAAAGGCAGTCAGGAAAGTTTTAAATCAAAATTTAGTATTGGCAGTGTCTGTAATAAGCAATTGTACGGAAACTACACCTAGGCAGCATGATAGTTGCCCTGCTCGTGTTCTTATTATAACAAGGTCAAAGGGAAAGTGACGGGACTGGTTGGCGTTGTTTAACCAAACTCGTTTTGGTTCCTGGAATGAGATAAGAGCACTGGGGAAAATTTAAATTGTGTTCGTGTAAGTTTTTGGTGCTCGATGGGGGGGGGGTATGGGTGGTGGCGGCGGCGGCTTTAAAGTGACCCCAACGAACCCACCTTGTTGGCCGCTACGTTATTTTCAGTTCATTTTAATAGGCATTCACTCACTCCCTCCCCTGGGGTACGATCAATTGTCACGATTAGGGATAACGGTTCGGTTCAAGAACTGATTCTTATTTGTTTCTTAGAAACGGTCTCGATTTGTCTCGTCTAGTTCTGTTATCAATTACATCAGCCCGATGACATAATTTGTACGAATGGTGAATGATGGATCCGTGCACAATATGATTTTATGCACCCCATCAATTTCACACGATTCAATTTCAACGCAGCGTTACTTTTTTTTTACAATGCAATGCGCTTTGCTTTTTAAGTTCGTGCAAGGAGTGAGAGACGGCAATCTGTTATGTACAGTGTCCGCGCTAAATGCCGTTGTCCGGCACAAGTGGCTTCTTCCCTTTGGCCGCATCGGCCCAGGCCAAATGTGCTTTCACAGGAGCCCCTCCGTGTGCGGGTGGGCGGGCAGCTGGGGAAAATGGCCATAAATAGACCGTGCGTTTACCCTATGACAACCCACTGCCATGCGGCGAGGTTGGGGCAGCTGCCAGGCAGCCCAGACATGGAGTGGAAAATGTTGCTCATAAAATACCAAAGGAACGTTGACTCTAAACAATTAAATACGGCTGTGTGTGCATTAATTTTGTGGCCAGGGGGGGTGGGGGGCTTCCTTTAATGGTAATTCTTATTTTTTTCTGAATTCTCACTCTTGGACATGGTTGCCTGTGAATTCTGCTGCATTGACCAAAAGTGCAATTGTCTGTTAAAAGTTTT